AATAGTTATGACCAAATTAATAATTGTGATTTGCTGATAAATCAAATATATATATATATAAGAAATTATAAAATATTATGATTCAATAGTTTAAGAATATTCTACTAATATAAAAAATTTTCACAATTTAATCAAATGATATATATATATATATATATTCATGTCAACTTTATCATAAAAACAATTATTAATCTTAACTATTTAAAAACTTATTCTTGATTTTTTATCAATAAAAAAGAACTGATTGCAAAAATTTTAGTGTTTGGAAAATGAATTGAAGAAAATATTTTTTTATGACAAAGAAAGGATTTTTATAATTCTTGAAATTTTACAAATTTTAGACTTTTTTTAGATAAACGTTATCATTTATAATATATTATATGTAGATTATCATTTAATTATAGCTTAGCATCTAATATATATATATATATATATATATATATATATTATAACATATAAGGATATATGATAAAAATTGCTTATGTGGATGTCAAGGTGGATAGTATCTGTTAATGACACATAGGATAATGTTTATATTATTTTATTTATCAAATAAATTTCTTTAATAAATTATTTAAATTTAATATTTTATTTAATTATTTAAATTCAAATCAAAATCTATATGAGATTGAAAATTTTGCATAAATTTTGGATTCAAATATATTAAATCATAATTTATCTTTTCATTTTAAATTTAATTACAATTCTAAATATATATACTTAATAAAATTTTATTTTTTGCCAAATAATTCTATTTAATAAATTATTTAAATGTAATATTTTTAGATAATTATTTAAATTCAAATCAAAATCTATCAAAGATTGAAAATTTAGCATAAAATTTAAATTTAAATATATTAAATCTTAATTTATTATATTTTCAATTTAATCATGATTTCATATATATATATATATATGTGTGTGTGTGTGTGTGTGTGTGTGCTTAATAAATTATTATATATTGAAATTAGAATTTGAGAACAAAAATTAAGAGTATAAGAGAAACCATCCCACTGAAGTCAGGATTATTTTATTTATTATTATTAGAATTAGAAATTGAAGAAGATAATTTTTTTTTTATTTGACGATTATAGTTTATTGGTTTAGACAAAAATTGACAGAAGTTAGAAAGAAGTAAAAGCCAAGTTATATTTATGAACAAATAAGTCCATTTTTTACCTTTATTACTCTTCAAAATATTTTATATTGAAATTAATAATTAAGCAAAAGAAAATAAACTGGAATTTGAATTGGTTAGATATTATGACTTATTTAGAACTTATATGGTGGTTGATTCTAAGTTAATGAATTATTAACTAGAAAGCATGTATTATTAAAGTAATAAGAGTTTGCATCTTTATAAGAAAAGATGATGAATGTTGCAAAAAAAAAAGAAGATAGATAAACGTATGTTTTTGTTTTGGGGAAAAAATATAATGCTTTATTTATGTTCTAATTCTAATATTTTTATATAATATATTTGGTTAATTTATTTGTTTCTTTTTATTCCATTACTTTTTTTTAAAATTTTGTTTAGATTGATTATAATTAAATTTTCGTATTATATTTTTTTGTTTTATTCATTTCTTTAATATTTTTATTTTATGTTAATTCATTAATATATTTGCTCTTATTATTATTATTATTTTTATCTCGATAAATTAATATATAAATTTATATTATCCATTTTTTTTCACAACGTTTTATTATTATTATTATTATTTTGTTTATAATAGATGGTACCCATAAAAAACACTCTACCAATTATGTTAAAAATGATTAAAAATAAATAATATTTTAAAATATACATATGATATGTTTTGACGCATAACATAAAAAATCATTGTTTACCTTTTATTTTAAAAAAATATAACTTTATTTTGTTGACATAGAAATAATTGTTAAGTCAATATATTTTTGAAATAATTACTTGAAATATGTCAAAAATAAGAATTAATAAAAATCAAATGATGTTCAATCAAATATATATATATATATAATTATAAACTATTATGATTCAATAGTTTAGGAATATTCTACTAATATAAAATATTTTTCACAATTTAATCAAATGATATATATATATATTCATGTCAACTTTATCATAAAAAGAATTATTAATCTTAACTATTTAAAAATTGATTCTTGATTTCTTACGAAACAAGAAAGAAGCGATTGTAAAAATTTTAGTGTTTAGCAAGTGAATTGAAGAAATTTTTTTTGTGGAAAAGAAAGGATTTTTGTAATTCTTGAAAGTTTACAAAAGCTTAAACTTCTTTTAAATAAAGAGTGTCATTTATAATATATATGTGTAGATTGTCATTTAATTGTAGTTTAGCATTTATAAATATATGGTTATATATTGGATCAATAAGAATTTGTATTTTTTATTAAGATAATAAAAAAATTAAAATTAATTATAAAAAATTTAATAAAATATCTCCTACATTGCATTGTTCGAATTAAAAAAGCTAGTTGAACTATATAATAATATATTATTTTGTAGTTTAATCATTAAATTAAAATTATTTTATTATTGTTATTTTATCATTTTCTTTTCTTACGAAGTAACAATATGCATATTTTAAAGTTACCAACTGCAAGTATCTACCACAATGTGCTTTGTCTATCATGTCAAAGTGAATATTTATAATATGTTCCTACTTAATTACTTATTAAATTAGATTAAGCTATGCTACAAAATGATGTGTAAAATATATACTTTAAAGATAAATATATTTTTATTTAAATATATTTAGTTAAAGTAATGATGTGGTTTCTCTTTTGATATTCATCCAAATTCACATATAAATTGCAGAGGTGGATTTTTTTTTTTCATGGGTGCATCTAAAAGTAGATTTAAAATTTTTATATATTTTCAATAATTTTTTATTCTATATTTTTTAGTCTCACCTTAATTTTGATCTCTCAATTCCTCTTATATTTCAATTTCCGTTATTTAACCATGTTAAATATTTTTCGTATTAAAAGCTGAGTTAAAGAATTTTTAAAAAATCAGAAATATTGATTAAAAAATAAAGGTGAAGATGAGGATGTTCATAATAATAAGACAAAAGGAAACTGATGGTGTGAAATTGTGATAGGGTACGATGGGATTGTTACACTGCTGCGCCTTGCTTTGAAAGTTTCTTAAAGAGGAACCCAAAAAACAAAACAAAAAAAAAAGTACGGGTGGTATAGCATCGGATTATATTTGATTTATTTTTTTAATAATATATATATAATATATATAATATTATAAAATTATAAAATTTAATTAGATTGAAATTGATTTTTTAAATTGATTTGATTTTAATCGAATTTTATTGATTTTATTTTATTTATCAATTTTTAAATTTAATTTTTAAAATTTGTATTATTTTAATATAAATTTAATACATTTAAGTAAATTTAGACATAAAATAATTATTTTATTTTATAAAAATTTAAAAATATATAAAAATTAATAAGAATATATAATTAGATTCAAATATTTTTATTTTTTTATGTTTGGATTTAAAATTTAATTTAAACTTAATAAAAAAATTTAATATCAAATTTTAAATCAAACCAAATTAAAATTTTTTAATTTTAATTAAATAGTATAATTTTGAATTCATATTTATTTTTTCCTCCCTTATAAAAGAAGATAGAAAAAAAAGAAAGAGATTTGAAAAAAATAAAAAATATATATAAATGCTCACTTGATATTTATTTATTTAAAATATCATATCAATTTATATCGTTGAAAAAATTTACACGTAAGTAATTTAATGATATTTTGTAACTTTGTATTATTTACATTTCTAAAAAATATTAAATTTATTTAAATTACAACACACGAATTATATTTTTATTTTCGTTTAAGTACAAAAATTGATTATATAGTTTGATGTTATTAAAATTGAACTTTCTTAAATATTATTTGTTTAATTTATCTAAATGAAATTCAAATAAATATTTTATAAATTATATCAACCAACCGACAAAATTTTCACAAAATATAAAGTAATTTTTGTTGTAATAAAATAAAATTTTATAATTTACATTATATAAAACAAAAGATCGAAAGTTTATTAAATAAAATTTAAATATTTATTTAGATATTATTCTATTTTATAAGAACATACTTGCGTTAAAATGAATTAGTTGACAATTAATTGATGATTTCCGACGACGATGTTACCATTTGATATAAAATTCTTAATTTAATTAGATAAGGATTTTTTTTCAAAGAAAAATAAAGATTAAATATGCCACGTGAGCACAAGAGGTTCAGCTTACGTGGGGTCTTGAAAGTTCTGTACAAGTGTAGAAAACAATTAGAAAGACATCTCTTTTTGTCGCAGTGTTTGACCACTACAGTGTTACAAGGAGAGGATACATCCGTAAATTGGATTGGCTTTTGGATCTAACTAAAAAAATATCAAACCCACGAAAGGGATGACAGTCAGCAATATTATAAAAGCTACCCTCATCAGATTCTTTGTTCATCAATCATCCCCAAAATATCTTTCTTTTCCATCGAATTTTATTCCTTTTAGTCCCCCAGATATTTTCACTTTGCTTGCCCCACCCAACTTTACTCGCTCGCCTACTCCTCAACTGCCATACGCGCCTTTAAATCTCTCGCTACTTCCTTGAAATGGAAAGTCACGAGTGCCTATTTCTTAATCGAATTATGTAAAAGCAAGCATAGTTTTTTTTGTGAAAAATATGTAACCATTTTAAAACAACATTAAAATCAGGTAGAGCACTTGCATAAGCTCGTGATTGTTGGAATTTCATTCCCTTTTATTCCCCATGAGAAAACAAATATGTTGAAAAAACATGAATAAATTTAAGTTAATATTATGAATGATTTCAAAATTATAATAAAATATTTAAATTATAAATTTATTAATTAATATAATTTAATTTAATTAATAAATTTATAATTTAAATATTATATTAAAAATAATTTATTTTATTTAAGAAACATTGTAGCATTAATTTTATCAAGACTATTTTGAACTGGTGTCGATGAAAAGCAGCGAGTATACTATTTGGGTACTCTCCCCAACCTTCATTTTGTTATTGGATGGTCTTTATGAAGTTGCGCCCGTCGAAAGGAAAACCAACCCCACTGCAGCCGCACTCTATTTAAAACACTGAAACACCCCGCCTCTTCAAGAAGATCGCTTCGGAAAATTGCCTACATCTCGAAAAACAAGAGCGAAAAAACAGAGCAGAAAAACAAGATCGGCATTTAAAGAAAAATTTTAAAAAATAAAGCCACCTGCCAAGGCACCAACTGTTTGTTTCTCGGGAATCTGAGAGAGAGAACAAAAACAAAGAAAGAAAATTTGTCTCTGCGGGTTGCTTTGAAGCAGGTCGGCATGGACTCGCATGTGCCCAGAAACCGAAATGAGTCATGGACGGATGAGAAGCATGTGCACTTTTTGAACTCCATGGAGGCGTGGTTCGTCCGTACAATGCTTGAGAACAACGATCGCTATAATCTCCGTCTCGACCGTCACTTGCCAGACAGCTCTGACTCGACTCTCGATTGCAAATACAATATTCAGACAAGAAAAAAGCATGCCACTTCAGGTAATCTAACATTCTTGTAATCGGCCTTGCTTTGGTCTTGTTCATGGTGCATTTTAGCAACATCCTTTGGAGATTTCATGGTTTTGTTTCTAGCTATGTTGATCGTGGTTACATCTTCCATGTTTTTAGCATAACACAAGCGCTTTTCTTTAATCTGTAGACCTTGTTTGCTTAATGCTTTAATGTTTTGTTTTAGTGCCAAAACCTGGAAGATTTTTTTTAGCATCTCGGGAACTGTTGCGAGTAAAAGCCGTAAAATATTGACTCGTGAATTCTTTTTTTTTCTTTTTAACGTTTAAAATTCCTTTAAAATGCGTTTTTAACCAGCCTTCCAAACACCATCCAAAGAATATATAAAATGTCGAATATGCCTGGAGATATTTGTTGCATGAGTCAGTTGGTGACACCCCTTTATGGTTCTTTTCCACTCTTTTTTGAACATTTTTAATTGTTCTTTGTTCTGGGCCATTTTTTGGATGCCCCGCAGTAGATTTTATTGTCTCAACTAGAAGCAACGTGACGGGTAGGCCTGATAAAAGATCAAGGAGAACATCATCTCATGATTCATCACAAGATCAGGTTGGTCACTCTATCACCACATATAGAATTTACACTGATCTTTTTCATAATAATCATATGATTGAAAATTAAGGGTTATGGACCCAGTTAGCTGGCCTGGCTAGTCCCCATCTTTACGACAGATTGTCCGAACTGTTTCTGACATTGATAAATTTTGGTCTTAGCAAATATGGTTCAGTTTTATTTCTTGTTAATGGATTGCATAGGTGGGGTTCGATCACTTTGATCTTTTTTCTATAATCAAAGTCCCCATATTTAATGACTAAAGAGTTCTATTTGGGTCATCTCAGGTGGTCCCACAGATTGAAAACAGAACAGGAGATAACGATGAGAAAGACCTTACCCGTGAACCAATTGCATCCACGGCGCCAGCAAACTGATGATATAAAGATTATTCTTTGTTTTTGTACTTTTAATTATTAATTTGTTTGCTTTAAGTGTAGGTTTTTTTTTTTTTTTTTTTTGCTTTAAGTGTAGTGTTTTTAGTAGAAGCAGAGTGATTTGTGAGCGTGTGCTATGAAAAATTGCTGAATTATGCCTTGCTAATGGGTATGTGTGCTTTCAGCGCCACAACGTTTCTAACTGTACTTCAGCTTCCAGGATTATGACATCGCTCTTGATTTTCACTGGGCTATAAAATAACCTTTTTAGTCATGCATTTCGCCTAGCTGATTCATGGAAGAAGATATTTTTATGATGTATATCTGGAGCAGGATCTTTTTGCTCTCAAAACGATCTACTCATAATATTTTTATAGCTAGTGTTTCATTTGTTTATTATAAACTAGAATAGTTGAGTGAAAAGCAGGATGGCGACGGTGACAAAGAAAGGCGGAGATTTCAATCTTTGATCTCTCAGGCACGCCTTATCCTGATGATAGACTTGGTTGCTTAATCTTTTCACCAAATATTACCTTGCTGGCACAGATAATAAGGCCTATCAGATAAAGGTAAAAAGACAATCTTACCCTGTCTGTTGCAAGCAACTGGTGCATACAATGGTATTGGTTAACTGGACATAAGTGGAAATTAAGAAACGTCAATGAATGTTTTCAGATCTCAAAAACAGAAATTATAAGACGACAGATTACCAAAATATGATGCTTGCGTTTGAATGGTTGGGGTTTTGTGACTTTCTAATGACTTTTTTTAAGTATAATAGTTTGTTTTGATTTTTATTATTATTTTTTTATAAAAAAAAAAATGGACAGCTTACTGCCTATTGCAGAGAAGAATATTTCAAACGAAAAGTAGAAAGTCGTGAAGATATTTTAGCTCTAGCTAGAGCTACAATCGATCAAATGCCTTAAATGTAGGAGGAAGAAAGGACCACTTTCATTTCATATTCATGTACCTATCACTTGCGTTTGATCCCCATGAGATAGGGAGAGAGATATTTGCATTTAGACTTTAATTAATTTGTACCCATTATTACAGCTAATTAAATGAGAGAAAAATATAGATGTAACTGTTTTATGATAAAACTTTTATCTACTTTATATATTTTTTCTCATAAATGTCAAACTGCTGCCCATCACTTCATTCAATTTCAAGTGATACTTTTTATTTTAGTGCTATATGTAGCTGGACTAAAAATATCCTATTATCACTGACACCGAATGCTTCTTCTATAAAGTTTATGTTTGATTTTTGTTATCAATTTTTTTTTAATAAATAATGTATAAATTTAATATAATTTTTTATTATGAAGTTTACTATCCGTCTTGACTCTAAACGGGGAAAGCTTTCCCTCAAAATAAAATTTTTTCACTAAAAAATAAAAAAATAAATGTTTTATTATCTTAAATTTAAATTTAATTAATTCATATGATTATTTTTAAGAGATTATATTTAATAAATTTAAAATTTAAATGTTAAAATCTATAATTTTTTAATAATAAAAAAAAAACAAAATCACTAACTATACCATAGATTATTAAAATTTCAATTGTATAAATAGTTTACAATAATTTTAGCCCAGCTAGGCTTCATTGTTAGCCTCAATTATTATTCCCTACAATAGGCGCTTTTTAGCCCCACCAACTTAAATTTGTTAATTTAAGGAACGAATTCTATTCCTATATATTGTTTATCTCCACCTGCTAATCTTTATTACTCCGATAATATTGTGTATTCCAAAATGCTGATATTTTATCAAGCAATTAGCTGGATGGCATAATTAAAAAAAAAAAAATACTGATTTCCATTCATCTTCTTTTCTTGTGTCAGAAGCTAAGCCCAATAATTGGCAAAATACAAACTATAGTATCATTGAGGTCTTGGTGAAACAATTAATATTAGCATCAAATTAACTGCATTATTATTTCGCTTCCTGAACTTGTTAGCCATCGTGATTCTAGATAATATTGGAGCATATATATCAGATTTAGCATTCTTGAGAAGGGATTAAACTCTAAAAAAAGAAAAAGATTGTCTATTAGATTCATGGCTAGAGTTGAAGCGAGTTTCAAGACACGCCAAATGGAAAAACTTAGCATCATATAACAAGGATCTTTGATCAGACCGAGCAGACAGCAGCGAGGGGCATTTGGAAATAGTTGTAGTTCTAATCATTTTTCTTACTGAAAAAATTCTATGTTAAGTCAGAAAATTTTAAGTTTATAAAACTATAAAATATATTATTTCTTTATTTTATTAAAAAATTAATATAATAACAATGAGATATTATTTCAATTTATGATTTGGTCATTTATGAATTTTATAAGTTGAGTTTCATTTTCATTTTTATTTTATTACTATTTATTTTTTTCTAAAAAACAAAATAAATTATGTGTTTAGATATAAAATTAAATAGTTTTTTATCATTAGATATAAAATTAAACATTTTTTTAATTATATGTATTAAAAGAAATTACAATATAATTAAATGAATTTTAATATACATCAAGAAAAGAAACCAATAAGCAAATTAAATTAACAATCAACCAATTAATATATAATTTTTAACAAAAATTAACACTTGATGGAACTTGAATTTAGAAACTTACATGTTCGAAAGCTTCCTTTTTACTATTGAGACAAGATTTAATTAGCAAGTAAATAATATTTTCAAATAAATAAAAGTTAAAAATTAATCTATATGATAATATATTTCAAAATGGATCACATTTCATAGTTTAATCTAATATTCTTATTAATGATCAAATTGCATTGAATAAAAAATTTATAATCATATATATAATATAATATAAATATAAATATAGTACATTTTAAGAAAAAAATTTACCATTTTTTAAGATTTTTATTAATTTTAGTGGGTCAATATTAGTAAGATTATACAAAAATTTATTAAAACACCTATTTTAAGTTATGATTTTGGATAATTGACTGGATTCAATTGATCCCATATTTTCTATGTGGCTATGCCATTACTTGTGAAATCAAATCATCAAAAAAATTTTATAAGGGGTGAAAATTTCTTTTTTAGTCATGGTTTTCTGCAGCAAATAACGTTTAAGAGATTGCTTGCTTTTAATTTGAGAATAAGAGGAAAGAAATAGAAAAGGTTCTAAGTGGTGTTCTTCATTTATCTTTTCTGACATTTCTATTTATAGAAAATTTGATCAAAAGTTATAATTCTTCAATTGTTTTGATTTGTATTAATTTATCTTTTCATTGAGTTCACATTATTTGAAACTTAAGTGTCATTTACAACAGTATGCGGTGAAAAATTAAAACTCATTTAAAATGAAACTAGCCATTTTAGCCAAAAGCAGCCAAATTTGAACTAGTGCATTCAAATCTTCTTTTGTATTTTGTTCCATATCACTTTTTCAAGTCATGGCATTTGAATGTCCATTCAATTAAAGGCATCCAAATGCCTTAGTATAATATCATACCAAAGGTCTTTTCCAGACATGGCATTTACATATGAATGATTAATCGAGCATTCAAATGTCACATTTTCAGACATCGCATTCGAATATTATTTGTCGAGCATAGAATATCATAAGATAAAATCGAAACAGACGTTATTTTTCACATAAAATTCAAAACCTCATGCATGAGCATTCAAATGTCCTTCTTTAATCGATTTTTTATATCTAAATATATATATATATATATATATATTTGGTTTGGAACCTTTCCAAAACTATTATATTTAATCAATTAATATTCATTCTTTCATTGTATTTTGAAAATATTCTAACAATACCAATAATATTACAATTCCTCAACCGTAAAATCCGAATAGTGTCACTTTCAGAATGTGAGAAGTATCAGGGGGAATAATACTGCATCTGTGAAAATTTTCTTAGAGCACATATCCATTAATTCCTAGGTCTTTTTAGTACTTGTTATGAACAAAATCCATAGAGTAATTGAAGAGGGTTGAATCCTATAATTATAACTCCATTTTTCTGAGTTAGAAAATATATGCATCTATCACTTACCACTAAATCAAATCCTCAAAAGAGATTTTTTTTTGTTAAACAATAATAATGTTAGGGAAGCACTCCACCTTCTAAATAGAAAGTAAGGAAAACATTATTATCAATTCCTCAGCCCATTTTTATAAACCCATGCAAAGAAACACGAAAAGTTGAAAACAGGAGGAAATTCAATAATAAAAATGTTGGACTCTAGTAAGGTGTAAACGAAATGAGTTTTTGATGAACTATTTATGAATATGTTTAGTTTTTATTTGTTTATATTTGTTTATTAAGCTTAACAAACGATATTGAACAATATTTTGTTATTCATTTGTTAAACGAATTGAATAGAATAAAGGTCTATTTGATTCATTTATATTTATAAATAAACTCATTTAAAATTCATTTAAAGCTCTTTAATTTATTATTCATTTGTTGTTTGTTTGCTGTTCATTTATAAAATTACTAATAAAATTACATTTTTATCTTATACCCTAATCCTATTTTAAAGTTTATTTATATTTGTTTGGATTCGATTATATTCGTTTAGAGTTTGTTTGTTTAAATTTGTTTGGTTATAGTTTGTTTATTGTTCATGAATATATTCTTTATACTGTTCGTAAATATATTCATTTAATGTTCACGAACGAGCTCATTTAACTTAATTGAACCGAACACAAATCGAACACAACCAACCTACTATTTAATCTAACTGAACATAAATGAACAAAGCAATTATCTTAACAAATACAAACAAAACACGAATACCTCTAAAAATAAATGAACAAATCATAGATATATATACGTTCGTTCATTCATATTCGATTCATTTACAGCCCTAGACTCAAGAGCCCAATAGGTGACATTTGCTATTTCATTTTCATTTTCTAAATTAGATTCTTTTATGAATTAAATTATATTATATTCTCTCATCCCTTTTTCTCGCCCTTATATTTGTTTGGACTTAGAATTAGAGATATTAATCTTACCCATACTTAATGGGGAACTCGATATTTTACCCGAATGGAGATAGGGATAGGTATTACATTGTAGAGATGGGAATGAGTATGATTTTAAATTTTTATTAGGTACGGGGATGGGAATGGGAAATATAGCACCCACCTCATACCCCGTACCCGTACCCTACATATATATTTTTATATATTTAGTATATAGATTTTTTATTAAGTAATATAATTATTATTTTAGATTAATTAAAATTAATTTATTTTTATTGAAAAAATATATTAATATATATTTATAAAAAATTACCCAAATATACAAAATAAAAATAACAAAAGTTAAAAAATTTTAATTTTTAGTTTTTATTTTAAAGCTATGGGTATAGGGATTACCTATACCTATTAAATACCCCGAGGATAGGGATAGGAACAAATTTAAAATATCTATTGGGTATGAGTATAGGAGGGGAACAATATGAAAATTTGAGGATTGGGATAGGGAATACCCTACCCTCCTAATTAACATCCCTACTTAGAATTCAAAATTAAAAATATCCCTTTATATTTTAAAAATGACACGAAAAATAAAATGCTTACTTACACTCATTTCAAAAACTCCAAAGCTTTCAAAACTATTAAGTTTCCTTTAAATATTCATGTTGTTAGGGGTATTTTTGGGTCTAGAGGGCAAATTGGTCTTTTTTTTTCCTTAAAGATCATCAGCAGATAGCTAGGATAATTTTTTACTTTTGAACCAACCTGACATGTATAATACCACGTCAGCTCAATTACTTCACTATTCTACCCTATAGATCCATCACCTTCCACCTATAAATAAAGTCATCCATGTACTATCAATCTAATCTAGGCTTTTTCCTTTACTTTCCTACTTTTTTTTTTTTTTTACCTCCTCTAGTCAACCTCTTATTTGATCATTAGAGCACAAACATAAGGAACACTCCCTGTCTTTGCTCTTAACCACTATCTTTCTCTCTTGTGATTTCAAGGTCTT